AGGTTAATTAAGCATTGAATTCAGAAAATATTCAAGTTTTATAAAAAATGTTTTAAGTTGAATTACTTTTCAATTAAAAACATTTCAACAGATTTGAAAATGAAAATGTATGTATAGCACCCTCTTCCAAATAATAAAACTTTATGCTTTCTTAAGTGCTCACAAACTTCTCAAAACTGTATATTCATTGGTACAGAAATCAATTCCTACCTGTAGCTTACACTTAAAGACCGCCATAGAGATTCACAACTTAATGCAGCAAATATGATCAGTACATCTAAAAATGAAGAAGCTGTTCCAACTTGTCTTCTCTATGATGTGCTCACACTTTTTAAACGTTTACCTTGCAGACTGTATGCAAACTTTTTCCTATAGCTGTATACACAGCATACATCTTAACCACTGCCTTAGATACCTGTCTGTCATCAAAGAAAAATACGATAACAACTGGATTATAGCTGCCATTCATTTTAAACAGGATTAACTGACACATTTTGGCTTCTCTCCTGATGTCTTTAGCTACACTATGACTGTGTCCAAATTGGCACAACTGATGTTTTTTTTTGGAAAAAAAAAACCCCTTCACCAAAAAAGAAAGAAAGTGTCAGAGTTGAGAGGTTGATCACCTGCATGGTATCCATCTGACCATTTGTCACTACCATATTATCTACTTGTGACTGGAAGAAATTGGGCTCGGTCTGAAGGAAAGAGAGAATATTAAAAAACATGTTTTGCTTGGTGGAGAAATATAGCACACCGTTGTCTTGAATTTACACGCACAGAACATGACAAACCCACCATGCATGGAGAGCCCCCTCCTTCTTGATTGTACTGGATTAGAGTCTGATTGCCCTCATCTTTTGGCAAAATCTCAATCTTATCTGGTCCAAACTTGCAGAATGATGCAATTAAAAGCACTGCAGACACACATGAAACAAATGCTAAGAACACAGTGTGCATCTTGTCTTTGTGTTTTATTGAACTGTCATTGCCATGGGTACCAGAAGGTCTCCCAAGTAGTACATTAAAGTTGGTTGGGAAAGCAGAAGAGCCGCTTCTTCCTTATAAACAACAGATGTGACTGTGGTTGTACTAAGGAGTTCTAAAAGTGTAACTGTCTGATTGGGTTATTTGTAAAAATTAAAGCATTTCTTACAGTGAAACTGAAATTGAAAACAAAAAGGTTTTGCGGTCAACACTTGTGTATTAATGCTAATACAGATTTTCTATTTTTTTCCTTCAAAAACACAGGAGACTATAATCTTATTAGAATTTATGATAGCTCAGTTTTGTCTTCTCACTGATTTTAATACTCACACAAAAATGCAAGCAATCCTGCAATAACCAACCCAATGCCAACTGATCCAAGACGGGTTGAAAGCGGCTCTCTGCCGCGACAAACATCATTTTCATCACATTGACACACGGTCAATTGCAGAGTGTCATGTCCAGCTATGCCCTGTTGGTCCATAATCACCAGGGGAATGGAATAGTTAAGATAAGGAAGTGTCTTCTGGCTAACAAGAGATACTTCCTCACCTGTGTGGGGTGAGAAAACAGCATGGGGTTTTGTGGCTTTTCCCCATAAATGTTTGTTTAATATAGAAATGAGGGTTAACATATATCTAAATGTACCAACCATAGTCAGGTTCTATTTTCCACTGTTGCTTTTGTGTTTCATCCCCCAGAGAAAAGTGGAAGGGTCCACTGTAAGGATTGGCATCTAGGTCCTTTGCAGGAACCTTGATCTTGTTAACCTTGTTTCCACACATGACAGCGCTGTTGTTGACCAGTTTAGGAGTATTGTCATTGATGTCCGTCAGGTGGATCCTGACAGTGCATGTGCTCGTGGCTGGAGGCTGACCTTTGAAACCACAGTAAAATTGAAAAAAAAATTGCTTTGTTATTCAGAAGATTTCTTTAAGAAATTATCCAATTTATTTTAACAATAGTAGAGCTTCTGTGTACCATCATCTATGGCAGCTATGACGACTGTGTAAACATTCTTGTCATCAACAAATCGTGACTCTCTGTCCATCCTCTTAGTTGATTTGATTTCTCCTGTTTTGCTATCAATGGCCACCCAGTCAGCTGGATCTGTTTGGAGCTCATACCTAAAGAGTAATCAGAGAGTGGTGCAGAACATATTAGATGAAAATACTGAGTTTTAGCTTGTGGAAACCAAAGCTGTAGCTTTTTGTGTACTGCAGTGCAAAGGGCGTTACTCCTTCAGTAGCCATTTCTAACTTAATCATGTTATGCTTCTCTGTGACACCTACTGGCCTTGCAGTGGTAAGGCCACTGTTGTATAGGCTTATTTTCTGATAATCTATATGACCAGGTGTCGATAAAGACATGATTAGATTAGCTTGGGATAGCTACCATTTCTTGTTGCTTATCACGCTTTGCAGGATCTGTTTTTTCTTTCAAGAAAGAAGAAGAAATAAAAGGGTTTAAATAAAACCCTTGTCAGTCTCCATTTTATTTTGTAGCTTACAGGCAGAATGAAAAATCTTGGATTCACATTAGACTCAATCAATGAGATTATCATGAACTACAGTACAGTATAACTCAAATTAAGTCAACTGACCCAACCTTTATGTCAAGAAGTGTTATTGCTGAGGAGATTTGGGCCACTTGGGGTTTGTTCTATAAACATAGCAGATTTAGTCATAATTTAGTAACTGAGTATTATCAATAATCAATGCCGCAGAGTTTTACTGGCACATATACAATTTTATTGGCCTGTAAAAAACCTATATATATTATTATTTTTAAATATTAATGCAGTTTTATTAATATTTTATTTTATTTCACTTGATGTTGATGTTACGCAAGCCTTGAAATATGGTGTAGTACACCTCATGTCCCCCTTTAAACTCGGCCCCTGTTTACTGCAGGTAGAAAGTGAGAGGTTTGTCAGCCTTCAGCAAGCTGCCTATTTTAGTAATCGTATCAGACTAAGTTGACAGTTCATCAGCATGTAACTTCTGTTGCTTTACTGTACATTCTTGCTGTATAAGAAAACAGTGGTGGATGGAACAACTACAAAGTTCTCTTTTCTTCATGTTAGAGTTTTTTGATCAGCTGGTTGAATGAAGGACTCCCGCTAGCTTTTTTCCAGTAAAGGTTTTAATGGTGATTACAGAAACAGCACTACTAAAAAAACATTTTCTTTCACTCTACCTGAGGTCTTAATAGCTCCACCTCTTTTCTCTTTTGCTGTGTGTGTAGACAGACTCCACGTTAAACTATGGCATCTACATCACTGCTGCTGTTGTGTTACCAGTTTTTTGTTGAAAAACCGGGGGCTGCGCTGGCTTAATGTTGTTATACTTTTATTGATGTCTGCTTCTAGATATGTTTCTACTGCAAGTCTATTCTTAGGCACAAATGTGGGTGAGGCACTCAGGTTTACATGGGGACAACAGAGCGCTACACAGCCGTGTGTTAAACGAAGTATCAAAGAAAAAATTTGTGTTGAGGATTTTTTATAATTGAGTTATTCGAATGACTCAAAGAATCATTGCAGCCCTTATATATTTATGTCAATCAAAATAAGCTTTGTAGAAAGGTTGTAGACACCCTACCTGGTAATATTAGAGTCGACATCTTGAACCTTTGGCTTGAACAGCACCTTTCCTGGCTCTGCTTCCTCCTTCAGGTGTATGTCATCTATAGCTTTTTCAAACTCTGGTGGATCGTTGGTATCAATCATTTTTAGAGTGACACTGGCTCTGTCTGTAGGTGGATTTGTGCCAGCACAAACAAATATGTCTTCAATGTTTTTTACTCCAATCTGCAGGTTTATTGAAGTTGTGTGTTGAAAATTTTTTTTCTGAAACACACAACACGTACACACACAAACAACTTTTATTAAATGCTGATACAGTTTTTGTGATAAAACATTAGTGGACTAGTTCTTCCCAGAGTAAAATAATCAAGTTTTTAATCCAAGTGAGAAAAGCAGAATTACCTTGACAATACTCAGGACACCCTCATTTGTTTCTGGATCAGTTTCAATTTTGTAGATTCCTTCTTCATTCCCTGCAATAATGGAGTACTTGGCACGCCATGCATCAGTTTTCGGAGTGTCTTTATCCTCCACAGCAACTCTCAAAACATTAGCAATGGTCTCCATTTCTATTGCTTCACCATTGTACTAAAGAGAAGGAAAAATTTCAAAAGTTTAATATGTGCGTCTCTTAAAAAGCACTTTTAGTAAGTAAAATAATTGGTACCTGTCTCTCCTTAAATCTTGGTTGGTGAGTGTTTGCATCGTCAATGTTCAGGGTAACAACAGCAGTAGAGGACTGAGTCTTTGGCTTTGTTCCATGATCTTTTGCTTGTAAGACGATGGTATACTTTGTTGCTTTCTGAAACATATAAAATATATTTGAGATATTTGAAAATTCAACATGTTTATTTGCATGTACATTAACTTTTCAAAGATTTCGCAAGAATATCGCAATAAATCTCACATCATAGTCAAAGCATCCTTTTAAGGTGAGTCTGGCCAGTCCTTCTTGAAGCTGCTCCACACCAATTTTGGGCTCTGCTGGAGTCTGTGAAACCATCGTGATGTCAAATTTAGAGTTGGGTGTGTTCTCCTTATCTATGTCTGTGACCTTCAGGGTAACTGGCAAAACACCTTTAAGAAGTTGGGTAAAGACAAACAAGGAGAGTTGGAGAGTAAATGTGGGATAAAGAAAATGTTTTCAGTCAGGAAAACATAACTATAGAACTATGTAGTATGATTATAGTAAGATGAAATATGAGACTTTGGTTTGAAATGATTCTATATTCTCTAAGAGTCTTAATATCATTTGTTTTATTTTTTTAGTGTTCGAAATAGAAAATGTGCACACTATGAGTTATTTACCACACCGTATACTCACTTCCTTGTATATTTTCTTTTACATTAACTGTTACTTGAGGAGGAGAGAACTTGGGTGGATTATCATTTATGTCTTGTATTTCAACATCAAATGCTAGTTCCTTGTCTAGTTTTTCACCCGTATTTCTGTCCAAGACATCAAAGTTAATCTGTGGATAGAAAAAAACACTCAAATAAAACATTTCGCATCACTTAAAAAGCATCAATATCAGTTGCGTTTATTGTCAGAGTAATTTATATTCCAGTATTAGCTCACATGGTAAAGTTTCTTTTGCTCCCTGTCCACTTTTTTATTTGCAAAGACGGCTCCAGTGGTTTCATTGATGGTAAACACGTCCGGCACACCGTCACCACTTAAACGGAACTTAAAGTCTTTCCCCTGAGTCTTGTCGTTATACATCTAGTCAAGATACAATCAGGCTGTTAATTTTTGCATATTAGATTTGTCCATAGTGACCAGTCATATCATTTATCAGTATCAGTTATTTCTTTCATATAATTTCCTTACCTTTGAAATCTCTTCGGGGTACTGTGCATCCTTTTCTTCTTCTAATTCAATTGTAGATAAGACCCATCTTCTTTTGGAACGCACCAGGAGATCCTGATAAGGCCAAAATATGGACCAAACTTTACAACAGCTTTGTTTTCTACAGAAAGTTATTTTACAAAAATAGCCTTAACAAACAGATAAAGTAAAAATTATGTTTACCCTTTTGGAAGGGCTGCTGTACTTGCTACCATAACAATCTGCCACGGCTGCTGCAGCAACCTATATGCAACAGGAAAACATTGCTGTGAGATTCAGTTGCTGTAGCAAACTTCAATCTGCATGTTTATAAGAAAAACAGAATCATTTGTGTACAAGTATTGGAGAAGGAACTCATGATGAATGTGTCAGTGAATAAGACAGCCTGATGACAAATTAACAGTAATGAGCGGGAAGTGATCATTATTTAATCAACTCCTGCAATTCTAACATGATTCATGAAGTATAATTGCATTGAACTAATGATTTTCAGGTGAACAACTGTAGCATTGTGTAACCATAAGTGACCTGAAATGAAACCTTGTCTCTTCTTTCTTGCTCTCTTCCTTCCCTGCCTTTACAGACTTCCTCTGCTCAAAAGCCATTGCTAAGTTACTGTTAAGGGCACATATAGACAGCTAAAATAGTAAATAAATCATTAACTTGAGGGTGAAAGGAGTAGCACAAACAGCAGTCCCAGTGCTTAATGTTAACAGTTTTAATCCTAAAGTTAAGACATGTCAAAACAGGTTAATGATAAGGAGAACCTATAGTCCTATGTCGGGACATGCAGAGATCTTCACACACAAAATAAATATCATCAGAGGTGGGAAGTAACGAAGTGTGAATACTTAGTTACTGTACTCATGTACAGACTACTTTTTACTTTTACTGCCTACATTTTTAAACAAGTGTCTATACTTTCTACTCCTTACATTTTCAAAGCAGCTTTAACACATTTGGGTGGGTTATTATTTTGTCTCTGTGACCCTTCAAACATCAAACCGATTTGACCCTAAACAGAAACACACGAGTGGCAGTCCTGTTCATGCATTAATCATCAGAGGATGTTGCATAAAAAGAGATGACGTGTACCAAATTTACGGGTTAAAAGTAGACCGGTGCTTTTTGTTTTTGTTTTTGCCACAACACCGGAACAACAGCAGATGTACGGAAGTCGTGTTTGTGGTACTTTGGCATCTAGCTTGTCCTACAGAGGAGTGAATATACGGGGAGTGATTTTTGTGTTTTGTGTCTTTGTTGGTTGCTCTAATGTGTTTAACATATCTACAAATGAATACTGACATTACTTTTATAGAGAATAAAGGTGACCTTGGTTCTTGCAACCTGTAGAAACTATTACACAGCCTCACCATATGGCTTAGAACAGCGGTCCCCAACCTTTTTTGCGCCACGGACCGGTTTATGCCCGACAATATTTTCATGGACCGGCCTTTAAGGTGTCGCGGATAAATACAACAAAATAAAACTAGTACTGGTACCGAAAAAAAGAAAATTTATTCCTAACACACGTGAAAAGACCAAGGAAAAACGAGTTAACGATAAAAACAATAACAAAATAATGCTGAAAACCGATAAAAACCCTGAAAACTATACATTTCCTCAACTCTCGCAGCCCGGTACCAAACGACTCACGGACAGGTACTGGTCCGAGGCCCGGGGGTTGGGGACCGCTGGCTTAGAACAAATGACATTTTTAAGTATTAGTTTAGTTTGGGTTGTTCATGATGCTTAGTTTCACCAGGGGTCACACACAAAAACAGATGTCTCATATATGGCAGCATCTGAAAATTGACTCAAACAAACAATTTGCAGATTACTAGTAAGGTGTACCAACCTCTGGTCTTCATCTTGTTCAGGTTGCTGTGTAACTGCTATAGTTGCACAAGCTGCACACCCTAGCACACAACCATGAGCCCCACGAAAGTGTATAAATCCCCAACAACTCTGTTACAGATACTGGCACAATACACAGTATTTTACTGAGAGATGACAGGAAGCTCTAGGGTCACTGCATACTACCTTGACCAAAGCCTTTCAATGAGGTCCTACTTATATATATCTATATATATCTGTATCTATCTATTGATATATAATCAAAAGTTTAAGACCACTTAAAAAATGGCAACAACAAAAAACCTGTATGGTTGGATCTTAAC